ATTATTATTATTATTATTATTATTATTATTATTATTATTATTATTATTATTATTATTATTATTATTAATAATAATAAAATAGACAGCTGCAATAATAAAAGCAAGCCCCTCCCTGGAGAAATAAATCCTCTTCGTCCTTCTGGGGCAACTTTTCGCTCTCCGTGCAAACGGCGGCGGCGGCGGTGGGGAAGCGCCTTCCCGAGTCTCGCTCGGTGACCAAGTTGGTCAGAGGCAGAAGAAGGGAGAGAGGAGTAACGTTTCCTCCAGGTATTGCGGGATTCCAACCCTGAGCAAATATTAGTCTGCCCGGCTCAGTCGCTTGCACACCGGAGTAGCAACCCAAGGTGTGTCCTCCTCCTCCTCCTGGTCTCAAAATAGTAGCCATGGCAGCCACCCGGGGCTCGGCATGAAAAGGGCCTTTTTGTACTTTGGAAAAGGGGAAGAAGCAGCCCGGTCGGGGCTCTGATTTCACCGGGAAGCAGCGCTGGGTCCTTCTCCTCTTGGGGCGTCTGTCTTTCCGTTTGGGATGAGGCAGAAAATAACAGATAAAGTTCAGTTTTAATCCTTGGAATATGAAAACCTAGGAAACCAGAAAATATATATATATATGGAGGATTGCGTTCAGTGGTTTCAATTCCCTCCTGTCTTTGCTTGTTACGAAAGCAAATTATAAATAAAAGCAATTGTGAACTCCTGATGGAAACGGGGGTATTTTTCTCCAAAAAGTTCCTCCTGTTGAAAGAGACTTAGTAGCCCTGTGTGTGCATCCTAGGAGTTGCATTTAATGTTTGGGATAGAGTAACTGTCCTAAGGGATAGCGGCCGGGAAACCTAATTTTTGCCGTGTAAAAATAAAACAGTCCAGCTGAGTTTACCTGCTGTTCAGGTAAACTGTATACCTGAGTTTACCTGAGTTTACCAGTCAGGTTCAGCTTTTCAGTTTGTTTCTTTTAGCGTTAGAAAGATTCCAAGAGCTTCGCCTTGTATTACGTTAGACGGCTTAGTTGTACATAAACGGACTAAAGGCGCTACACAAGCAACACCAATATTTGGTTTCGCTGCTATGCTGTGTGTAAACAAGCACAACTTTATTTAGAAGGAAATGTGGTTGAAAGCCGGATACACAAAAGACCGATGGGTTGGGCGTTGAGTAGGTAGAGAGTCCCACCAGAATCAATAACGACAATTAGACGTTTAATCCCCCAAGACAAAACAGTCTTCGTTTGAGGGAACGTTGACGGCAGTGGTTCCCCCGGCACGGGAGGCAAATGGCAATTTCGTGAATAAAGCCGGCCAAACGTTTGAGGGTAGAGAAAAACTAGGCATCCGGCAGGCCATCAACGCTATCGATATGCAGAAATTGTGGGTGCTCCAACACTGGAGGCGGCTTTCAAGAAGAGACCTGCGGGGAATGGGATAGGGTCTCCTGCTCGGGCACGGGGTTGGACTAGATGACCTCCAAGGTCCTTTCCAACTCTGTCATTCTGTATTCTGTATCACAGGCATGATGTAAACCAGGGGTCTCCAACCTTGGCCACTGGAAGCCTGGCGGACTTCAACTCCCAGAATTCCCCAGCCAGCTCCGCCAGGCTTCCAGTGGCCAAGGTTGGAGGCCCCTGCATTAAAGTAAAGCTGGCTGGGGAATTCTGGGAGTTGAAGTCCACCAGGCTTCCAGTGGCCAAGGTTGGAGGCCCCTGCATTAGAGCAAAACTGGCTGGGGAATTCTGGGAGTCGAAGTCCTCCAGGCTTCCAGTGGCCAAGGTTGGAGGCCCCTGCATTAGAGCAAAACTGGCTGGGGAATTCTGGGAGTCGAAGTCTGCCAGGCTTCGAGTGGCCAAGGTTGGAGGCCCCTGCATTAGAGCAAAACTGGCTGGGGAATTCTGGGAGTTGAAGTCCGCCAGGCTTCCAGTGGCCAAGGTTGGAGACCCCTGGTATAAATCTTAGCTTTGTGAAAAAAAACCTGTTGAACAAAGGAGACAGTTCAGCCCCAGACACAGCACAAATGTTTACTTTTGGAGGAGGACATTGGAGAGAGAGAGAGAGAGAGAGAGAGAGACAAACAGGGCCTTCTTCAGGATGAAACGGGCCGGCCATTGGTCCATTCCTAAGGCGGGTTTGTTCAGCAGCTTTGCGTTTCACTGTCCAAGGCCTTATTTTGCAAAGAAAACACACCAACAACAACGGGCGGGGGGGGGGGGGGGGGGTTGGAAACATCCCCCCCCCGTCTCTTCTCTCGGCTTGTGATCTGATTCTCCACTCGGAGCTGGGAAGGTGGCAACACAGCTCCTGCCTTGTGCTGCCGCCGAGCCGCCCTTGAAAGGAGCCATTCTGTAGGAAGAAGGCCTGTGTGTGCTCACAGGAGCACCAACTATTAGTAAAAGTGGTGCAGATCCTAGCCTCGTCCAGGGAGGTATCCCGCCATTAGCAGGGAGAGGAGGAAGGAGGCAGATGGCGGGGGGGGGGGGGCGCGTTCTTGAATACCATCCAAACCAAAGTCTTTGGGGGCCTCCTCCGAACTGAGCTTTTCTCTCCACCCCGCATGCCCCCCGGCTCCTTTTTCTCCCAGGCTGCAGCGAAAGAACCGTGTCGATTTTATTTTTATGAATGAAAGTAGAGAGGCAGGACAGAATGGGCCGTGTAGGTCATTCACCGGAGTGGCAGCGATGATTAGGGAGGTCAGTGAACTCCTTTGCAGCCGGGAACATGCGGCCACGCTATTCAGCCGCCGCAGAATAGACTCGGAGATAAAAAAAAAACAATTTAAAAAAAAGCATTCAAATTTGCATTCGCATTCAGATAAAGATATAACTTGGGACGGTGGGTGCATGACAAGTAGCAGGCTAAGTCCACTGCAGACAGAGCTGGGTTGGGGGTGGGAAGCTAGTTAGAAACTCACAAGGTGTTGTGTTCTACTTGTGGCCCGCAACGCTTATTTTCTAAAACCCCCGAAGAAAAATGACTCGGCAAGGAAGATATCTTTCTTTCTTTTTTTAAAATAATTTTCATTGAACTTTTCCACAGTTTAAAAACTCATATATGCAATCTTGGCAGTATTGCAACATTGACGTTTCCGTTTAGGTTAATATCCATATTTAGATATAGACATCAATTTTTATTCCTGCTGTCTCTAACTAATGGTACCGTTTCTCCCAGACCGTAGAGTATTCCTCATCTTCTCTATCTTGCAATTCCAATATGAGTTGGACCATTTTTGCTCAATCCAATATTTTCTTTATTATCATACTATCGTGTGTGTGTGTGTGTGACTATCTAATTTTCAGCTCTGTGCATAAGCGATTCTTGCCGCTGTCGATATATGTATTATGATATACTTGATATTGTTTCTTAAATATTCCTCTAATTATTGCTAGGAGAAACATTTCAGGAATGTAACTTTTTATTCTCCGCATTTACAGCTGCAACCCAAAGAGGTGCTGGAGACAACTTGTGGCTAATGTGCAGTTATAAACAAAACTTACAAGGGCACCAAAGAGAAGAGAGAGACGCGTGCACAGAGAGAAATTGTTTGCGTCTCGTGTTTATTTTAGCTGGGGATAATTGTGCCCACTTTCCAGGCTCTGGTGGCATTATGTGACTCTGAAAAGCACTTAAAAATAATATTTGCTCTTTTAAAACCTACAGCACAAAGTAACATTTCACAAGGGTTACAGCCGAAGGGAAAGAAACGCAACAAGCATGAGAAATGGCCGAAACCAGAAAAGGTTGGAGCAGAATTTGGATGGTAGCTTTTCATTTGGGCCTAACTGCAATTTTTCAATCTAGTGATGAACTATGATTTGTTTGAAATAAGCCCTGTTTAAATCATGGTCAAATCCATACGGGGTGCATGATGATAGTCACGGAGAAGCTCCGAATCCTTAAAAGGCCCTTGCTTTTAATGAGTTTAGTTCATTTCTAAGGTTAGTTGAGGTCTGGCAGACCAGAATTATAGAATAATAGAGTTGGAAGGGACCTTGGAGGTCTTCTAGTCTAACCCCTGCTCAGGGAGGCGACTTTCCAGTCCCTTCTTTAAAACCTCCTGTGATGCAGCATCCACAACTTCTGAAGGCAACTTTTGTTCCACTGGGTAATTGTCCTCACTGTTAGGAAGTTACTCCTTAGTTTTGGATTGTTTCTCTCCTTGCTTAGTTTCCCTCCGTTACTTCTGGTCCTGCCTCCTGGGGCTTTGGGGCTTTCTTCTTTGGGGCAGCCCCTGTTCAAAATCACAAGTTTTGAATAAAGATCCACCACCATGGTGGAGCAGGGCTCAAACCTGGATCAGTAGAATCCCTTCAGATCGTGGAGGAACAGTAAGTAAGTAAGAGGTTACTTTTTGTA